AAATTATCAACAATATTATTTATGGCTACATTTGCTCTTATGAGAGATACTTAATGAAACATTTACTTTCAGGCAAGGACATTTTAATTAACAAATAAAGATACCTATGGTTGTGTCTATACATAATAGTTCAAATTCAACTAATCTATCTAATGAATTTTCAAGTTTATAGCTACATTTATTCATAGCCACACTTTGATTTATTATTTGTATTATTTATTTAACAGACAATATAATTGCTTACATTATTCAATTTTCACAAATACATAAAATTTCACTTGCCTCCTGCCAATCAACATTGTCCTTACAAATACACCATCAGCCCTGATGTCATGGAACTTTTATATTGAAATATAGATAATCTGTATTTATTATTTTATTTTGAAAATGAGGGAAAAGATGATATTAGTGTTTTTTTCTTACTTTATACTCTACTGTTCTCTTGCCCTAACCCATTACTTTTCCTTCTGTTCCTTATCCTGTTTCTTTCAGTTTCATGTCATATACAGTTAGATCTAGATCCTGAACATGACACAAAAATATGTAACTTGTCTTTTTGAGTTTCATATATTTAATTTAACCTAAGAATATTTCTAATTCTATCTATTTTCCTGCACATAACACAGTAGTACTGGTTAATAAACTCCATTGAGTTTATCAATACCACATATTCCACATTCATTCATCCACTGATGAGCATCTGGACATATTCCATTTCTTGACAATTGCAACTAATGCTATAATATACTTGGATCTACAAAGGGCCCTCTAGGGTATTTATTTGATATTTAGGAGTGTATACTAAGGAATATTATGTCCCTAATTATGTATTAGCATGCTTGGATGTCATTATAGACAAAGCTTTCCCTTCTGATCAGCATCTAATACAATTAAGAATTTAAATAGCTAATTTAAATAACTCTGATAACCAATCTGACTGAAACCTGGGTCATATTTATGGCCTGGGTGGCAGTACAGGACATTATAAACTTTCCATATGGTCATAAGGTTTTTGTCTAGCCAGAAATGATCTTATGGAGAACAGGGGCACATCACTGTTCTATCATTTAAAATGTAATCAAAGTGATCTTGTCAATCACTTGAGTAGGAAAATGCCCTTATTAGCCTTCAAAGTCTTTAAAGAAATATAGTATGCTGAAACTACAAACCAATACAGCAATGTCTTTGACTATTGTATGCTCTCATCCTCTGGTCTGCAATGGTCATGTTAGCCAATGTCCACTCTTAGCCCTGGAGAATGCCCCACTTGACAGTGCTATAAATTCTCCCTCTCTTTTACATTATCCTTTGTGTTGCTTTTTTAAGTTAAGTCCATGAAAAAAAGGTTGTGAAATCTCCATGGCAGGAGTAATGAAGCTGGGGCACTTAATTGTTATGTTTTAGAACTTTCCTAGTTGGGGCATTTGATAGTTATGTTTTATGAGCTTCTATTATGAATGCCCTAATTTGCATATGCAACAGTGGTAGGTAAGCATTTCAGTTTTCTCCCATTCTCCACAGTGTTTGTTGCTATTTGTTTTCTTATCCATAGAAATTCTGGCTAAGATAAGATGATGTCTCAATGTAGTTTTGATTTTTGTGTCCATGATGGGTAAGGATGCTGAAAAGTTTTACACACACACTTTACACACACACAAACACACACACACAAACACACACACATATACACACACAAACACACACACATATACACACACAAACACACACACATACACACACACACAAACACACACACGCACACACACACCCTATACTATATCATTGAAAACTGAATGCTTAGTTCATTTATCCATTTATTGAGTGAATAACTCTGTGATTTAACATTTAATGTTCTGCATTTTTGCACAGTATAGATATTAATACCTTGTTAGAAATACAGTACCCAAAAGTTTCATCCATTCTGCAGCCTGCCTCTTCATTCTATTGATTGTGTTATCTGCTGAGCCAGAAAATTTTAATTTCATTCAGTCTTACTGCTATATTTTTGCTATGGATTATCAAGTTCTTAATGATTGCTTCAGAGTCTTACCACTTCATGTGTTTCTCTATCTATTCCTCTAATGATTTCAAAGCTTTAGAACTTCCATTAAGATCTGGATCCAAATAAATTGATTTTTGCATAAAGAGACAAAAGGCCTCTAGCTGTACTCTTTCCTATAAGTATACAGTTTTCCTCGTCCATTTGTTGAAGATGCTGTATTTTCTGCAATGTCTCTTAACAGTATTGTCAATAATCAATTGCCTAGATCTAAGTCAACTATTCTGTTTCCCTGGTCTAAGTGTCTGTCCCTGAGTGGTTCCATGATGCTTTTGCGATGGGGATTTGTAGTCTGCATTGACAACAGGTGTTCTCACACTACAAGCAATGCTCTACGGTTTTTTATTTAGATTTTTTTTTTTTTGGAAACTTAGAATCCTTTATGCTTTAAAGCTAATTAAGACTTTTCTGTTTCTGTGAAGAATACTATTATTTTATGATAGTTACATTGCATCTGCATATCCTTATTGGTAATGTAGCCATTTAGAAGAAATTTACTCTTCTAATGCATGAGCATTCATCTTCCTTTTTTTTTTTTTTTTGATCCAGAGTTTTAAAGTCCCGATTATAGGATTCCCAGATCGTCACTTAGGTTTATTCTCTTGTTTCAGAAGTTGCCATGAATGGTATGTTTTTTCTAAATTCTTTATTTGTAAATTCCTTATTTGTATATAGAGAAAAACATTATTTTGGAGTGATAAGTTTTCATGCAACTACACTGACCATAGTTTTCAGATTCAAAAGTTTTACAGTGATGTTTGTAAGGTATTTTAAATAGGAAGATATGTGGAAATGGAGATTAATTTCACTTTTAAAAATAAAGATTTGAAAAATATTTATGAATACCTGCGTTTGTATATGGTTGTGCAGATTCACTGAGGAGAGAAAATACTCTGGAGCTGGTTTTCAATATTTTATATTAATGATTTTAATTATCATACAGCTTAAAAAACATTTTTTGAGAAGTCTATTTTAGCATAATAAGAACTTGTCATTCATGAGTTACACTTTCAATACCAATTACAACTGTATGGGTATTATATGTATGTATGTGAAGTATATGTATAGGCACACATATGTAAATGCACATGTACTCATGTAAATTTGTAATGTGGAAGTCTGAGTTAATATACAGTATCTTCTTCCCCTCTCTCTCTCTCTCTCTCTCTCTCTCTCTCTCTCTCTCTCTCCGTTTTATTTATTGAAGTAAGTTTGATCAGCTAAACTCAGAGTTCATTGATTGACTAGTTTATCTAGGAGCTTGCCCTGAGGATTACCAATCTCTGAAACCAATCTCATGTGAAGATTCTTCACCATGTTTATTCAGTTATAGTCTGCCAGAGCCATACGTGACCATAAAGTAGATATCATACAATGGCTCCTTGTTCAATCATGCTCTCATATTAAGAAAGGCATAGTTCTTCTCAAATCATTAACACAAAGGCAGCACCCAGATTAGTTGAGCTTCGTCAATATTTTTATTTTGCATCTGTTTCCCTATCTTTTTTCCTAGAGAGACCCCCCTGTCTTTTTCCCTTTTAAAAACTTTTTAATAAATAAACTTTTTATTAAAAAACTTTTACTAATAAACTTTTTAAATTGATAAACTTTTCCATTCCCTTTTAATAACCTTTTAAATCAGGAAAACTTGGAGTCAGTGATGATGAACTGTTCCACATCCTCTGTTCTAATAATTAGAATTAAGGGCTTTCTAAAACTCTGTCTAAAAAACATCAAACTAAAACCAAAAGCAAAAATAAATCAAACCACACAAACAAAAAACCAACCAAACAAACAAAAGAATTTTCAGTGTGTCCTCTTAGACACCTGCCTCATGGGCAAAGTAATTTCTCAGTACAGTAATTCTTGGCTGCTCTGATTCTGAAAAGGACTGTGTGCTGCAAATCTGCTGTCATGGTTTCTCTTAATGGTTTGGTGCTGTTGTTTATTTCAATTGCTTGTTTCTTTTTAAATCAAAGTCATTTTTTTGTCTATTACTTTCCAAATTTTATTTATTCTTTGAATATTAATTCTTATTTTCCAATAACATTCATTTAGAGGATTTTTGTCCTCTGTTATCACAGATATCTCATGTCTTTGTGGTTTACCTCATATTAAAATATGTTTTTTTAATTGAATGTGATATATATTTACTGTCTTAGAAATAGATGATGTGCTGTGTTAAATTCACCTTGATTTTAGACAGGGTTTCTATATCAGCACTCATAAGTTTCAGATAGGCCATCACTATTTTTATTCTTGTTCAATTATAGACAAATACACAAAGCCTCATATATACAAACAAAGACCTATACTCTTAGGTTTTGCAAATAAATCTTATTAGAATTTACTTGAAATCGTTATTTATTATCTATTATTTATTATAACAAATCATCTAGCATTGTCCATGGTGACTTATGTTATACTTTTATAAAAACAAGGGTAAATTCACGAGTCTTGATTTAATTAAAATATTTGGTTCAATTTCTATTTTTACTCTTAATTTTTCTATTTTTATAACTTTTAAGACAAGACCTTGTTTGAACCTAAGGCTTTTTCTAAAGTCCAAAGGTGTTTTGATCTTGCAATGTTTCTGCTTTAGGGTTTCTAACATTTCATTTGTGGTCTAGCACAGAGGTGTAGACACAATATTTAATAAGTTTGACTCAGTATATTAAACAATCAAGAAAACATGGATGCTCATAAATTGGACCACAAGTACTAATATTTGATCATAAATGTTTGGCAACAAGAGATAAAGTCAAGTAAGAATGGAAAGTGATAGAATAACTGGAAGTTTCAGTATAAAAACATACATAAAATATATTTGTTCCTGAATAACTAATACCAGAGGTTCAGAAAGTAGCTGTAGTCTAACCCATTTTAAACACAATCTTTTATGTTTAGTAATCACCATGAAAGGAATAAGATTAAAAAATATTCTGCCCCTAGAGCTGTTGCAGATGTTGCTGCTGTGTCACATGCCACAGTAAGTGGCAGAGAGGAGAGACTATGTATAGGCTCTGTGTTCAGACTGCAAGCATCTGAATGATTAGTAGCCTACCTTTCTCTAGAACATTGAGTCTGCCACTCACTGCCAGTGCCAAGGTACCCATACAGGAAGGTAGCCTGAGACAACCACCAGTCCAACACTACATAGGCCCTGACAGGCTCCCAGGGAGGGGATTGAGCTGGAAACTAAAGAACGCCACCCATCTCGGACTGCAAGCCTTAAGAAGGAATGATCCCAAGACATACAACCCTCATAAGGGGCCACTCCCATGGGCCTGGGTAAGGACTGATCCCAAGACGACTACCAGCCTGGTGCTATGAGATCCAGACAGGGAGATAGCCTGAGATAATAAACAGTCCAGTGCTGCAAGAGTTTAGTGGTACAGACCATGCCCAAGATGACCCCAGACACTCAGAAACCCTGGGAACCACTAAGTGCAGCAAGTAAGTGGTAGAGAAATGGCAGAGAAAGAGAAACAGAAGGATGTGGTTACAAGGAAGAGAGAGAGAAACGGTGGCTAGTGAGGAACAGCCTGATGTGGGTAGCCATAGTCAGTGATGTCACCTGGGACCATGGTGGGGTCTTGTCCTGTGCTGCCACTGGGAGGCCATGTCTGAATCATCAGGGGTCTGTTATCACCAATGCCAGTCAAACATCCATGGTCTGGGTTTCCTCAAACATGTTGATGTGTAAGAGATATGCAGAACTGACCCTACGTGTCACCTGGGCATCCTGAGAGAGCTGGCCCTGGGGTCATAAGATCAGAAGAGTGGACCCACCCCTAGCCAGCTGCAGTACTTGGAATAACAGACTCAGAACATTATGGGAGTAGCAGGTGAACCGGCACTGAAGATATGGGTATGGGAATGCTGGTCCTGCCATTTATCTTCCATGCTGTGATGTAGATGAGGGAGAAATATCTTCCTCCTACATGCCTCCTACCACCTGTGATAGGTGTTTGAGTAGCGACACCAGGAGAGCTGTCTTTGTCTCTAACCAGCTGCAGTCCTAGAAAGAACAGGCCCTGGAGCTTGTTTGGGCAGTATAGTACAGTTGGCATGGATGTGGAGGTTTAAGATGTACCAGCCATGAGACCCAACTCTTCCATTTTTCTGCTGTGTGGTGGTTTTGGACAAGGAAGAAGGGATCTCCGCTCCTACGTTTTGCCCTCCCTACGAGCAGCAGGTGGGAGAGGTGACCCTGCCCCTCACATGCTGCATCTCACCTGGGCATCCCAGCCCAGCTGGCTCTAGACATGGGAGTTACAGGCCAGCTGGCGCCAAGGGCTTGAGTACAGGAAAGCTATCCCTGTCTCTTGTCTGCTGTGTGGTAAAGTGCGAAAGGGAGAGATGCTTGCCTCTTTCTCAACCCCTCACCTCTTGCCACCTATGGCAAGCGGGAGAGTTGGCTGGACATACACACACCTGATGAGAGTAGGGGAACTAGCCATGTCATATCCTCACTGGCTGCCACACTTGGGAGAGTGGAACCTGTACCTTGACTGAGCATCAGGGTAGAGCTGGCCCTGGTCATGGGGGTTTCCAGGAAACCTGTCCCAGGATATTGAAAGCATGAGAAAAGGAGGCAGACTAGCTCAGATATCTCTCAGACGTTCAATTGGTCCACCCTAACATCTAAACCTGTTGAACTGCTAGAGTAAATGAAGGGGCTGGTCCTGCAGATGCAAAACTGCAGGATCTCCATGACACCGGCAACAACAGAATATCTGAGAGGAGTCTCAATAAAGTTCAAGTATAGATATAGTAACAACAGCCAGAGGTCTAAAACTAGATCAATTGGTCATTGCAATAAACATTAGCAACCAAAGCATGGATAAAATGGTATGCTTTGGGACACCCACACTAGAGCTTCCACAACAAGAATTTTTTTTCTCAGTTGGGGAGAGATTGCAAGGGTGGGTATGAGATGAGAGGGAGATGAATAGGGTTGGGATGTATGCTATTGAATTCACAACGAATCAATGCAAAGTTTACAAAACTACATTTGACATAAGATATTTTAAACTAATAATGACTCAATAAATTGCTCCATCAAAAAGCCAATAGGATTTTTTATTCATATATTAGATTTAATGATTTCCACATATGTAGGATTTATTGTAACACATGTTATGAATTTTTTAATCACCATAAGACTACAATTGAAGACATGATCTTTTATGATTGTTGCTTTACAGAAATGCAAGAATTAGTTTAATAGTTTATATAAGTAACTCTCGGAGCGCCATACTTTTTTTTTTAATTTCTTTTTTTTTTATTGGATGTTTTATTTACATTTCCTATGTTGTCCCCTTACCCCATCCCCCACCCACCCCGGAACCCCCAATCCCCTCACCCCTCCTCCTTCTTCTCTGTGGATGTTACCTCTATTCCCCCCCACTCCCACCTCCCCACCCTCAAAATTCCCACCCCCTGGGGCATCCAGCCTTCATGAGGTCAAGGTTCTCTTCTTCCACCTATGCCCAGCAGGGCCCTCCACTCTTACATATTCAGTTGAAGCCCTGGATCCCCCCCCCCCCAAGTGATCCCAGGCTGGTGGTTTAGACCCTGGGAGCTGTGGTTGGTTGGTATTATTGTTCTCCTCATGGTGCCGCAAATCCTTTCAGCTCCTTCAGTCTTCACTCTAACTCCTCTATTGAGAAACCCATGACCAGTTCAATGGCTAATTGTGAGCATCTGCCTCTGAATATGTCAGACTCTTGAAGACCTCTGAGGAGATATCCATATCAGGCTCTTATCAGCATGCACTTCCTGATTTCCACATCAGCATCTACCTTTGGTGACTGCACATGGGATGGATACTCAGGTGGAAAGGTCTTCAGACAGCCCCTCCTTCAGTTTTTGTCCCTCGCTTTGTCTCCATATTTGCTCCCTTGAGTATTTTGTTGCTCCTTCTAAGAAGGACCGAATCACCCCCACTTGGTCTTCCTTCTTTATGGACTTCATGTGGCCTGTGAGTTGCATCTTGGGCATTTCAAGGTTCTGGGCTAATATCCAATAATCAGTGAGTGAATACCATGTGTGTTCTTTTGTGATTGGCTTACCTCACTCAGGATGATAATTTCTAGTTCCATCCATTTACCTAGGAACCTCTCGAATTCATTGTTTTTAATAGCTGAGTAATACTCCACTGTGTAAATATACCACATTTTTTGAATCCATTCCTCAGTTGAAGGACATCTGGGTTCTTTCCAGCTCCTGGCTATTATAAATAAGGCTGCTATGAACATAGTTGAGCATATGTCCTTATTATATGTTCGAGCATCTTCTGGGTATATGCCTAGGAGTGGTATAGCTGGATCCTCGGGTAATGCTATGTCCAATTTTCTGAGGAACCGCCAGACTGATTTCCAAAGTGGTTGCACCATCTTGCAGTCCCACCAACAATGGAGGAGTGTTCCTCTTTCTCCACACCCTCGCCAGCATCTACTATCACCTGAGTTTTTAATCTTAGCCATTCTGACTGGTGTGAGATGGAATCTCAGGGTTGTTTTGATTTGCATTTCCCTGACGACTAAGGATGCCGAGGATTTCTTTAGGTGCTTCTCGGCCATTCGAGTTTCTTCCGTTGAAAATTCTTTGTTAAGCTCTATACCCCATTTTTTAATAGGGTAATTTGGTTGTCTGGAGTCTAATTTCTTGAGTTCTTTGTATATACTGGATATTAGCCCTTTATCAGATGAAGGATTGGTAAAGATCTTTTCCCAATTTGTTGGTTGTCATTTTGTCCTATTGACAGTGTCCTTTGCCTTACAGAAACTTTGCAATTTTATGAAGTCCCATTTGTCAATTCTCGATCTTAGGGCATATGCCATTGGAGTTCTGTTCAGGAACTTTTCCCCTGTGCCCAAGTATTCGAGGCTTTTCCCCACCTTCTCTTCTATTAGTTTCAGTGTATCTGGTTTTATGTGGAGGTCCTTTATCCACTTAGACTTGAGCTTTGTACAAGGGGATAAGAATGGATCAATTTTCATTCTTCTACATGTTGTCTTCCAGTTGAACCAGCACCATTTGTTGAAAATGCTGTCCTTTTTCCACTGGACAGTTTTAGCTCCTTTGTCAAAGATCAAGTGACCATAGGAGTGTGGGTTCATTTCTGGGTCTTCAATTCTATTCCATTGATCTTCCTGCCTGTCTCTGTACCAATACCAGGTAGTTTTTATCACTATTGCTCTGTAGTGCAGCTTGAGGTCAGGGATGGTGATTCCTCCCGAAGTTCTTTTATTGTTGAGAATAGTTTTCGATATCCTGGGTTTTATGTTATTCCATATGAATTTGAGAATTTCCTTTTCTAACTCTGTGAAGAATTGAGTTGGGATTTTAATGGGGATTGCATTGAATCTGTAGATTGCTTTTGGCAAGATGGCCATTTTTATTATATTAATCCTGCCAATCCATGAGCATGGGAGATCTTTCCATCTTCTGAGATCTTCTTCAATTTCTTTCTTCAGAGACTTGAAGTTCTTGTCATACAGGTCTTTCACTTGCTTGGTTAGATTCACACCAAGGTATTTTATATTATTGGCAACTATTGTGAAGGGTGTCATTTCCCTAATTTCTTTTTCAGTCTGTTTATCTTTCATGTAGAGGAAGGCTACTGATTTGTTTGAGTTGATTTTATAACCAGCCACTTTGCTGAAGTTGTTTATCAGGTTTAGGAGTTCTCTGGTGGAAGTTTGGGGGTCACTTAAGTATACTATCATATCATCTGCAAATAGCGATATTTTGACTTCTTCCTTTCCTATTTGTATCCCTTTGACTTCTTTTTGTTGTCTAATTGCTCTGGCTAAGACTTCCAGTACTATATTGAATAGGTAGGGGGAGAGTGGGCAGCCTTGTCTAGTCCCTGATCTTAGTGGGATTGCTTCAAGTTTCTCTCCATTTAGCTTGATGTTGGCTACTGGTTTGCTGTAAATTGCTTTTACTATGTTTAGGTAGGGGCCTTGAATTCCTGATCTTTCCAAGACTTTTATCATGAAGGGATGTTAAATTTTGTCAAATGCTTTCTCAGCATCTAGTGAGATGATCATGTGGT